CAGATATGTGGCCTTAAACAAAAAAAAATGTAAACTTTTAAATAATTCATTTTGAAATATTAAATTCTAAAGTTTTTTTTCAAGGTTAAGTTTAATTTTTTTTACGGCCGCTATGAAACAAATGTTAACAAAAACACGATTTTTATCCACTGTCAGCAATAACGATGGAAGGATTTTCACAACTCGTTGATGTCCATTGCTCGTTCTTGATATCGTATTAATTTTTTTGTATAGTTTTGACTAGCGTGGTCAGTCTGTAACGCGATACATCCAATGGAAACTTCTCCGGTAGGATTTTTGTGGTGTAGGTACATTCGACTATAACGTACAATTTTATTACCTTTTTTTTTAAAAAAAGAAAAATTTCTTTCCCTAAATAAAGCTTTAGAAATACAGCACTTAATTAAATAATGCTGATCTCGAAGTCCAGGGAAAGACAACCAAAGAAATACCAAACGCATAACAAGCCTAGAAGAGTTACGGGGAATTGGACCACATATTTAACAAATATCTAACAACATATTTAACAAATTGTTTTTTAAAGCTTGTCGTCGGGATTGCTTTAGAAAATTTCATGCATGACTGAATTGGTCGTGTCACATTTCATTATATAATTAATATGAATTTCTTTTTAATGTGCATTATTAGTATCTTATATTAATACGTCTCCTACACTACAATTGGAAAACAGCAACGAACTAGGAACTATTTTAACAATATAAGCTGTTTAACACAGCAGGTTAGAGGTATGTTAGGTGAGGTCATGTGTTCGTGTGAGAAAAAGAAGTTAGTGGTTTACGCGAGGTAGTGCAGCTAATATAATAACCGGCTAACTTCTGAAGGTAACTCGACATAATTAAGCTATAAATTCGATTACATCCAGTAAATAAGGGACGCAACCTGTTCCACCTTTAATTAAGGCCAATAAAACTGGATAGCCGCCCTTTGGCGGAAAACCCGGCGTATTGATAAGGCTGGCGGCAATAAATCACTGGTTAATCAGGTCGGTGATTTCACATGTAAAGAACGACTGGACGGCTGGGGTTGGCTTTTGGTGGGGGCTGCTGGTTGTCACAGGTGGACTGGTTGTCACAGGGGACTGGTTGTCAGAGGGGGCTGGTTGTCACAGGGGGGCAGGTTGTCACTGAGGGGCAGGTTGTCACAGGTGGACTTGACGCTCATGACATATACATATTTTTGCGACAAAAGAAGCTCCAATGAAAGAAAGCAGATTAGTTTTATTTTCTTATTTTCAGTGTATTTAAAAGTTTTTTGTTATAAAAGGTTTTTTAATATTTGTTTTATTTTATAAATAAAAACATTTAATAAAAAAACAATTTATAAGGGTAAAACAAAGTATTTTTATTTTTTATTTATTTCCGGATTTTACAATTGCCGCATGATTTATCAACTATAAATATCAACTTGAGGTATCAACACGCCAAAACTAACACGCAAAGTATCAACACACAAAAACTGACTTACAAATTGTCAACACACGAAAATTGTCACATAAAGTATCAACACACCAAAACTCACACACAAAGTATCAACATTCCAAATCTCTCACACAAAGTATCAACACACCAAAACTTACACTCAAAGTATCAACACACCAAATCTCTCACACAGTGTATCAACACACACAAGGTACAACACACCAAAACTCACACAAAGTATCAACAAGCGAAACCCCACACTCATCCACACACTATTTAACATATTTGTGACTCAGCACTAAAAAACCCGAGGCTCATGAGCCAACAGTCATTGCTCTCTGAACAAATATATGCAGCCAAGTTATGGCTCTCTGTACAAATATATACAGCCCTTAAAAATGTCTTATTTTATGCACACGATGAAAAAATACGCAATAGATACAAGTCACTGGTACAGACTTAAGTATCTCTGAATATCCATTGCCAAATATTTAGAGGTCTAAATATTTTGGGTCTAAGAGATTACCCCCCCCCCCCCCCCCCCTTGATAATACATATTATGCATGGTGTATTCCTAATCCTACTTATTGAAGGTCAGTTAATAATCGACCAGAGGGGGGGGGATGTCCAGTTTGTTTGGTGACTGAGCAGGAGTAATGTGCTTAGGTCACTGATCTGTAAGGGAGACAAGCAGGGCAGTAATGGTCTACTCTCAGCTCAAATAGGTTGGGCAGATATGATGTTTTTAAACCAAAGGGAAAGAACTCAAAAGTTTACAAACTCCTGTAAGAAATATACAGTAATGTGAAATATAGTTGGCTCTACATCTTCACACAGCAACATTAGAAAATGAACAAATTAAAAAAAAAAATTGTATAAAGGTTTTTAGTATTCAAAAGGTTGAAGAATGTTCAAATTCATTACGTTTCAATCATTATGACGTCACAACTATAGGGAAGGGTGGGGAATGGGTGCCATAATACTTTTCTATCAGTTTAAATATATTGTAGAAAACACGAATCAACAATAACAAAATAAAAACCTTTAAATTAAGAATATTCCAATATTCCTAAAAAATTGATGACACTATGACATAATGCACTTTTCTTTTGTTTCTTTATAAATGAAATCGGGAGGGGGGGGGGGTGGAAATAGACACAATAAATTGACACATATATCAAATACATTTCGTTCCAAAAGAACAGTTATTACAAAGGTTTATTTCATCAGTAGGTATATATTGCAATATATTTTTAACAAAGCTCTGTTTTCGGGAATTAGCACACAAGTATATCAATAATATTACATCATGTAAACAGGATAATGCACAGCATGGGTAATTTCTCATTTGTAGAAGAAAAATATTTGTAAAATGGAATGTTCGAAATAGTGGAATGATATATGGATGTGACGTCAAAGATACATGCAGATGTGAAATCATAAAACGTGACGTCATAAAGAACATCACGCAACATCACGATAGAACAAGGCATAGAACAGACACTGTTCTATTTTTAGCTACATCACGTAAAAATGTACATCATAAATGTGTATTTAGAACAAAAAAATCATTGCTACATAAGCCATTTTCAAGATTTAAGCCTTATTGCTTCTCCTTGAATCACGCTAATAACATTTGATTGGGCAATAAAGTAACATACAAGGGGACGGAACTCCGGAAAGACACGCGGTTAAAGGGAAATAATCCAAATATTTTAATGCAGGGGATATAACTCTTTTGTTTAAAATTATTTGTTCTTGTTTCGGCTATTACAAGAATGTTTGACAAAAACTCGAGATAAATAATTATCTTAAAACCTTGAGCCATATAAGACCGTGTAAAAAAAATGTAAAACGATCAGTATAGTAGAAGTTGGTTTCTTCCCTTATGCTTATGTGTGGTCAGTACAATGTCCAGCCACCTTCAGTTTCAGGTAAACCCCATACCCGCCCCCCCCCCCCCCTTATGAGAGCTGGGTGGATGACTTGAGTTCATCCCAACGAACGCATAGCCTGGTTTTGAACTCTAAACCTTTGGCGCTAGCAGCTGTAAGCTCTACCGATCGACCAGCCTGTCACACAGGACCATCTAAATGCCATAACGGTTTAAGAGTCTTACAGTACATGTACAATCTATATCACGTGATCTAAGAAATCTTACAGTAAACGTACAATGTGTATCACGTGATCTAAGAAATCTTACAGTACACATACAATGTGTATCACGTGATCTAAGAAATCTTACAGTAAACGTACAATGTGTATCAAGTGAACATGGCTAAGCTTAGTCTAATGGGAAATTTAGCTTGAAAACTGAGGTTTTATTGCATGCTCAATAACATTATCTACGTTTCAAACATATTGGATATATATCTGATTTTCTAAATGACGCTATCTAAATGACAATATGTGAATGTCGTGAGTAATGGTGGTCTATTAACGCTATCTAAATGACACTATCTAAATGACAATATGTAAATGTCATGATTACTGGTGGTCTATTGACGATATCTAAATGACACTATCTAAATGACAATATGTAAATGTCATGATTAGTGGTGGTCATCTAAATGACATGATACTAGGCCTCTGACCAAAAAACATTTGATGATTATTGCTGATTATTACCTAAACAAAATGACATTAGTAGCTAGTAAGAATGACATCTGAATGACATGACATTTGTGGAACTTATAGCACAAGCACCTTAACAATTCACTTGTGGTTAGGGAGCAGTACGTTTGACTAGGATTAGATTTACACTTAAAAAGGCAATTTAAAAACAAGATGAAAACATGCATCATAAAATACACGAAAAAAAAAAACGTTAAAATCACAATAGGCCAGAAACAATGTTTTAAATCTAACAAATCAAACTGTTGATTCAATGAGCCACATCAAACTGTTGATTCAATGACCCACTGGTAAAGGTGAGAGTTGATGTCTTGACTGGCATAATTAAAGCACTTCATTGATTGGAATGTTAATAGAAGTAAAGGAATGTTTTTGTTTTAAAATTAACATTGTGAAACGTTGTGCTTTGGTTTGCCACTTAAGCTCTTTATCATCAGAGAAATCAATTCAGAAGCTTTGATTGGCTGGAAAAGTGTTGAGTGATGCGAGAGTGGGAGGAGATAGGTTGGGGTGGTGGGAGTGGGGGGGGGGGGGGTAGGAGAAGGTGGGTGGGGGAGGAAGTGGGGGAGAAGATAGGGTGGGTGGTGGAAGTGAGGGGTGGTGGGGGTATGGAGTTGTGTGGAGGAGAGAAACGGTGGGGTGGTGGGAGTGGTAGAAGGGGTGGTAAGGAGAAGGTGGGCGGGTGAGGAGATGGGAGTGGTGTGGTAATGGGGAAGATAGAAGCAATTGGGTGGGGAGGAGATGGGGTAGAGTGGAGGGGGTATGAAGGAGTTGGGTGGGAGGGTGGGGGATGGATTCAAGCTTAGACTGTTCAGTTAACAAAAGATTATCATGTTAATGGTAAGTGTTAGGATCAGTACAGGATCATTGAGAAAAGTTGTCTCAAGGTCACGGGATCAAAACCAGGTCAACCATGGAATTTAAGCTGTTGAAAAACATGCTATAAATTCAAGGATAGGTAGGGGAAGTAGAGTACGGCTGAACCTAGACTTGAGGTACACTAAATTTGAAAGATAAAAGAAGACAGGGCATTGTGGAGGCTTGTGTTATAGCCACAGATTTGATACCAAAATAAACAGGAGCAGAACAAACTTGATACATGACAGTGTTACACTATTTGTTTCATTAGCCTTCTGTACAGGGGAGATGAATCTTTGTTTTTTTTTACACTGAGATCAACAAAAAAACATAACTCTGGTTATTTAATCGTCCACAGGAAACCAAGATGGCGGGTAGTAATCATCGTAAACAAAACCTTGAAACTCGTACGAGTTGGGTAGGGGAAACTTCTTATAAAAGATGACCAGGCCGCCAGTCAACCAACTGGACCACCAACCAAACGTGCCCACCGTCACGATCCCGTGGTCGCAGCTCGCCAGAGTAGCGAAGTGAATCTCCGGGGGCGCGTCCTTAAGCAAGACAACGTCCGTGTAGTTCAGGTTCTCTGCGCACCACTTGAGGTTATTTCCGGCGATGATGAAAACGAGGTCCTTCCCCGGCAGCAAGGCTTTCATTTTGTTGAAGGCGTTGGTGAAGAAAGACTTTGGCGCCTCGCACGTGACGGGGTTGGAGTAACCGTCCCTCATCCTCACGTGCACCCCCACGAAGACGAGCTTGGGTTTCTTGTACTGCTCACGAATCTCGTCTTTGATTTCGTTCACCCTTTTTCTGAAAATTATTTCATCTCGATGATTAAAACGGTTTAAAGATAAAGTGTATTTATTCAAACTTTCCCAGAAAACAGTTTTCAACTTTTAAAATGACTAATTACAGCTGCTTAGTTAAAGATAAAGTGTTTTTTTTAAAATTCAAACTTACCCAGAAAACAGTTTTTAACTTAATTATTACTGATTAGAGCAGCTTAGTTAAGAAAAATTTAATTTGTATTACCCTTAGTGTGCAGTTCATACGTTTATTTCTGAGTATTTTTCTTCAACGTTTGTTAATTAATTTTGTAATTTAAAAAGGAAATTGAATTCACGGATGAAGTATTTAAGTTTGTTGAACCTTTTCTAAAAATAGTTGTGAAATTCTGAAATTAATATTCAAGCTAATAAACATTAAATCAACAAAACTTTGTTGGTTACAACTTGAAACAATACACTAAAGAAACATCCTAATACGGCCCTGATTATATTCTGACTTTAGTTCTAAACTGTGTAGTAGCACAATTTAAAAAGAAAGAATATTAAAAAAAAAATCACATGTTTTTGGACCGATGCATTTGAAGGGATAGTGTAGTTAACACTATGCCCAGCCATCTTTACTTTCTTGGTGTGGTCAACATTATCCCCAGCCAACAGACTGACAAACAAATTGACCAACAGACTGACCAAGGGACTGACGAACAGACAGACTGACCAACAGACGGACCAACAGACTGACCAACAGACTAACCAACAGACCGACCAACAGACTGACCAACAGACTGGCCAAGAGACTGACCAACAGACTGACCAACAGACTGACCAACAGACTGACCAACAGACTGACCAAGAGACTGATCAACAGTCTGACCAACAGACTGACCAACAGACTAACCAACAGACTAACCAACAGACTGACCAACAGACTGACCAACAGACTGACCAACAGACTGACCAACAGACTAACCAACAGACTGACCAACGACCAACAGACAGACCAACAGACTGACCAACAGACTGACCAACAGACTGACCAACAGACTGACCAACGACCAACAGACAGACCAACAGACTGACCAACAGACTGACCAACAGACTGACCAACAGACTGACCAACGACCAACAGACAGACCAACAGACTGACCAACGACCAACAGACTAACCAACAGACTGACCAACAGACTGACCAACAGACTAACCAACAGACTGACCAACAGACTGACCAACAGACTGACCAACAGACTGACCAACGACCAACAGACTAACCAACAGACTGACCAACAGACTGACCAACAGACTAACCAACAGACTGGCCAACAGACTAACCAACAGACTGACCAACAGACTGACCAACAGACTGACCAACAGACTGACCAACAGACTAACCCACAGACTGACCAACGACCAACAGACAGACCAACAGACTGACCAACAGACTGACCAACAGACAGACCAACAGACCGACCAATAGACTGACCAACAGACTGACCAACAGACTGACCAACAGACTAACCAACAGACTGGCCAACAGACTAACCAACAGACTGACCAACAGACTGACCAACAGACTGACCAACGACCAACAGACTAACCAACAGACTGACCAACAGACTGACCAACAGACTGACCAACAGACTGACCAACAGACTAACCAACAGACTGACCAATGACCACCAGACAGACCAACAGACTGACCAACAGACTGACCAACAGACTGACCAACAGACTAACCAACAGACTGGCCAACAGACTAACCAACAGACTGACCAACAGACTGACCAACAGACTGACCAACAGACTGACCAACAGACTAACCAACAGACTGACCAACGACCAACAGACAGACCAACAGACTGACCAACAGACTGACCAACAGACTGACCAACAGACTGACCAACAGACTGACCAACAGACTGACCAACAGACTGACCAACAGACTGACCAACAGACTGACCAACAGACTGACCAACAGACTGACCAACAGACTGACCAACGACCAACAGACAGACCAACAGACTGACCAACAGACTGACCAACAGACTGACCAACAGACTGACCAACGACCAACAGACAGACCAACAGACTGACCAACAGACTGACCAACAGACTAACCAACAGACTGACCAACAGACTGACCAACAGACTGACCAACAGACTGACCAACAGACTAACCAACAGACTGACCAACGACCAACAGACAGACCAACAGACTGACCAACAGACTAACCAACAGACTGACCAACAGACTGACCAACAGACTAACCAACAGACTGACCAACAGACTGACCAACAGACTGACCAACATGCTAACCAACAGACTGACCAACAGGCTAACCAACAGACTGACAAACAGACTAACCAACAGACTGACCAACGACCAACAGACTGATCAACAGACAGACCAACCAACAGACTGGCCAACAAAGTGACCATAAGACCGACCCACAGACTGACCAACAGAATGACCACCAGACTGACCAACAGAATGACGAACAGACAGACTGACCAACAGACTGACCAACAGACTAACCAAGAGACTGACCAAAAGACTGACCAAAAGACTGAACCACAGACTGACCAAAAGACTTACTGTATATTAGGCAGGAATGTAAACTCCTTCCGAATGACGTCCGTGATGTTCTGGAAATACTTCCAGGACTGGACGTAGCCCCTCATGTGGACGTTCTGCGGCGGAAGTTTCTGGAAGACGGGGTCACAGTAGCCGTACTGGGTCTCCGTGACAGACGTCCACCTGCCGGGGAGAAAACAGTGGCGTTACTAGGGCGGGTCCCTAAGGGTGCCTTCCAACCCACCCCCCAAAATAAAATAAATAATATCAGCAGCCGGGGGAGAAATGTAAACAGTGGCGTTACTAGGGTGGGTCCCTAGGGGTGCCGTCCAACCCACCCCTCATAATAAAATGCTAATATAGACATCAGCAGCAGTGGGTCGCCCCCCTCCCCCCCCCCCAAAAAAAAACAACAACAAAAAACAAAACAATTACTTGAACTATATTTTGGTGTGATCGTATCCTAAATGACGTCACTCTATTTTTAACGATATTCGTAGGTAGAGGAATCAGATTTTCTCATTAACATTCGACTATGTTTATGTTTTTGTATAGCACTTTTGGATGGCGTAGCCTTTTGTGACCACGCTATATTGTATATCCTGTAGCTTACATTATACAGTGTAGGCTAAAGCAGTGGCGTAGCGAGGTCGGGTGTCACCCGGAGCGGCACTTAATGGTGTCACCCCCCAGAGGCGTAGCGACCCTTCCCGTGGACAAATTTTCTATATATTTTGCTATTTTTTGCCTTGTTGTCACCCCCCCTAAATGGTGTCACCCGGTGTGGTCCGCACCCCCCGCCTCCCCCCCCCCCCCTCGCTACGCCTCTGGGCTAAAGGTATTGCAAGTAGCGAACATTAAGTGTAGGCTAAAGCTATTACAAGTAGTTCACATTAAACAGTGTAGGCTAATGCCGTTTCCGTAGCGCTTTTATTTTTACATGGTGCAGCAGAGAACTAAAATAAGGATCCACAAGTCTAATGTACATTCTGTACTCCTCTACGCTGCAGAGTCATGGAAACTAAACAAGAAAGGAGAGAGCCGACTTAGAGGCTTTAAAAGAAGATCCCTCCAACGCATCCTCAGGATAAAGTGGGACGACAATGTCCCGAACAGGAAAATATGGCGAAAGACAGGATTAAACGACATTGTTTCAGAAATTCGAATGAGAAGATGGAGATGGCTGGGCCATGTCCTACGCATGAGCAAAAAAAGACTCCCCAACATGGCGCTGAAGTGGAACCCACCCGGAAAGAGAAAGAGAGGAAGACCACTGGGAACATGGAGGAGAGAGATGGAAGAAGAAGTGCAAGACATGGCATGAATTAAAGTGGCTCGCCCAAGACAGAGTGGAATGGCGGAGATTTGTTGCGGCCCTATACTCCACAGGGAGTGATGGGGATTAAGTAAGTAAGTAAGTGTAGGCTAATGGTATTGCAAATAGATTACATAATACAGTTTAGGCTAATGATAAGGTACGTTTGTACATAAATAACATTTATTTAACTAGTGAACTATTGTCGTTTTCATTTTGAAAAAAAACCCTCAATATATAGACGGACTATTACGATAAAGGAAACTCTTATCTACATTAAATACATTTATTATAGAAAGCGGAATGGGTGGGGTTGGGTGGGTATAACCTCGAACTCGCACTTAATACGGAATGTGTTGCCTTTGTAGGTGTCTCTCAGCGTTGAAATTATCTTTTGATTATTAAGAAACCACCTCGGGGCGGCCTTTACAGGTTAGGCCAGAGCACAACGGATCGTACTATTTAAAGGTAAAGAATGTTTTATATCTGATCACACAGGTGCACTACACAGACAGTGGCTCAAAGTGGGAGGGTGGGGGTTCGAGAGTTGGGGGGGGGGGAAGATTTTGAGTGCGTTAAGGTGGGGGGTGGGGATAGGGCGTGAGGGATTCAAACAGGATGGTGCAATATATTTTTAAAAAATCTCATGTCATGAATGTGAACATTATCAGGTATAAGTAGGAAGATGCAAGGAAGATGGGTGGGGTGGGAGTGTGTGTATGAGTGTGTGTGTGATGGGGGGGGGGGCGAGGGGATTGGGCTTGGGCGTGGGGGGGGGGTTCAAACAGAATGTAGTAATATAAACAAGATCTCATTTGATAAATGCAAACAATAACAGGTCTCTGTGGGAAGATGGAAGGAAGAGGGGGTGGGTGGGTGGGAGTGTGCGTATGTGTGTGTGTGTGGGGGGGGGGGGTGGGGGCTTGGACGTGGGGGGGTCAAACAGATTGTAGCAATATAAAAAAGATCTCGTTTGATAAATGCAAACATTATCAGGTATGTGTGGGAAGATGGAAGGGTTGGTGCTCAGCCATGCGTGAGACGATATTAAAGAAAGTACACGGTCAGGTTTCGTGGTGTGCACAGTCCAATCTGAAACACCGGGAGAACCAGTCATGCGTGAAAATAAAGTATGCGGATATGTGGGGTGGTGCGTATGTGTGTGTGTGTGTGTGTGAGGGTGTGTGTGTGTGTGAGGGTGGGTGTGTGTGTGTGAGGGTGGAGGTAAAAACTAGTTGGGGATCTTAGCAATATTGAGAAATTTATGGATTCTAAATGTAGCCAGAATCGACCCCAAACTCAGCGAGAATCGATATTTAAGTAGAGCCAGAATCGATTACCCAAAATGTTACAGGAGTCGACCATAAACACATAATCGAGACGACAGGATCGTTTGTGGCGTACTTATATTAGTCTCTCTCTATATGTATCGGCTAACTGTACTATCCCTATCTTGACCTACTGTACTATCCCTATCTTGACCAACTGTACTATCCCTATCTTGACCAACTGTACTATCCCTATCTTGACCAACTGTACTATCCCTATCTTGACCAACTGTACTATCCCTATCTTGACCAACTGTTTTATCCCTATCTTGACCAACTGTACTATCCCTATCTTGACCAACTGTACTATCCCTATCTTGACCAACTGTACTATCTCTATCTTGACCAACTGTACTATCCCTATCTTGACCAACTGTACTATCCCTATCTTGATCAACTGTACTATCCCTATCCTGACCAACTGTACTATCCCTATCTTGACCAACTGTACTATTCCTATCTTGACCTACTGTACTATCCCTATCTTGACCAACTCTACTATCCCTATCTTGACCAACTGTACTATCCCTATCTTGACCAACTGTACTATCCCTATCTTGACCAACTGTTTTATCCCTATCTTGACCAACTGTACTATCCCTATCTTGACCAACTGTTTTATCCCTATCTTGACCTACTGTACTATCCCTATCTTGACCTACTGTACTATCCCTATCTTGACCTACTGTACTATCCCTATCTTGACCAACTGTACTATCCCTATCTTGACCAACTGTACTATCCCTATCTTGACCTACTGTACTATCCCTATCTTGACCTACTGTACTATCCCTATCTTGACCTACTGTACTATCCCTATCTTGACCTACTGTACTATCCCTATCTTGACCAACTGTACTATCTTGACCAACTGTACTATCTTGACCAACTGTACTATTCCTATCTTGACCAACTGTGCTATCCCTATCTTGACCTACTGTACTATCCCTATCTTGACCAACTGTGCTATCCCTATCTTGACCTACTGTACTATCCCTATCTTGACCAACTGTACTATCCCTATCTTGACCTACTGTACTATCCCTATCTTGACCAACTGTGCTATCCCTATCTTGACCAACTGTACTATCCCTATCTTGACCAACTGCACTTTCACTATCTTGACCAACTGTACTATCCCTAAGAAAGAAACGAAAGAAACAAACCTAGAAAAATACGAGCTTAGGAAACTAAGAGCAAAGAAAAATGCAAGCCTTTAGAGAAACAAACATGCCTATGCTTGAAAACCTTTACATTCTAACCATAGTCCGCTTTTCGTGCCATAAAAAACCCATCGAAACAAAGACCATTGTCATGTGATATTGTGCTTATCAAGCATGACTGGTTTCATGCCTTAAAAACCAATCAAAACAAAGACCATTGTCACGTGGTGTTTATCGGGGCATGACTGGCAAGAAAATCCTTTTGTTCGTTTTATGGCCATGCGTTGCTAATGGCAACCAGCACAACACGCTATGACGCTGTATTAAGGCGGAGCACTTTAAGGCTTAGCTTATAATGAGGTGTGTTCATTAGCGTTTGATGTTTAGAAATGTAGAATTCGATCGTTATTTCAACATCAACAGAAAAAAAAGAAAAAAAAAAGAAAAAACAAACAAATAAAATCATTGTGAAAATATCATATTCTACAAATAGCCCGTTCGAAATGTTGTCCAATGGGTCTATGTCTATAATAAAGCCACATCGACCTATCCACGACCTATCCATACGGCTACATCGACATATCCACGACCTATCCATACGGTTACATCGACATATCCACGACCTATCCATACGGCTACATCAACCTATCCATACGGCCACATCGACCTATCCATTATCTAGAACAAGTTCGCGCACCCACCGCTTAAAAAAAAACATCATTTATCGCCATTCTAAATATAGACCATCCGATCGATTATTTTAACAAAAAAAAAATGAGTGGTCAAACAATTGTCAATTAGTCCCCACGTTAGACCCAATACCCACTACAGCAATTACACGTGGGCGGGCTATGTGGGTAGGGTGGAGTGGGGTGGGGGTCAATACAATAGTCAATTAGTCCCCACGTTAGACCAAATACCCACTACAGCAATTACATGTAAGCCGGCTATGTGGGTAGCGTGGGGTGGGGGTCAATACAATATTTATAGATGAACATCTCGTTAACAGGACTCACATCTCTCTGTAATGTTGGCGTTTATTACGACACGTGCTAAAATCATCACAAAAGCCAGGGGAAACAGGTGTAGGCCGAAGCTAAGGGGGGGGGGGTGAGCTTTGACACTTTCTAAATTTAAAATTGGTAAAAGAAAAGCCGCACCAATGAATCAATTAGGTCTGAAATATGACACTTTGTTGAGACGTTTATTTTTGCTTTACTACAATAATCGGCATGGTATCGTCACAATAATCGGCATGGTATCGTCTTAATAATCGGCATGGTATCGTCACAATATCAGCGTGGTATCGTCACAATATCAGTGTGGTATCGTCACAATAATCGGCATGGTATCGTCACAATAATCGGCATGGTATCGTCACAATAATCGGCATGGTATCGTCACAATATCAGCATGGTATCGTAAAAATATCAGCATGGTATTGAAAGTGTTACCTTGTATTTAACACTAGCTTTCTAACGTAATATTAGCCTCAAACTTAACATAATTACCAATTCTACCCTGAATCACCTTAATATACGATATTACAGAAACAGATGAACACTACTTCATCTGCCACATGAACCACCATGTTCGAAAGTTAAACTATTTAAAAATAATCAGAGAAGGAACGTTAATTCTCTGCCGTGTTAAGTCCAAGCAAACGTTACCAAAAACAACCAGGATTCTCAATTTAGTTGATCCATTTTAATTTTTTTATTGTTTCAATTAAATGTAAAAACGAATGACATTTGTCTAATAACCAATCTTTCAGGATTCTCAATTTAGCTAATCCATTTTAATTCTTTTATTGTTTCAATTAAATGTAAAAATGAATGACATTTTTCTAACAACCAATCTTTCAGGATTCTCAATTCAGTTAATCCATTTTAATTATTTTATTGTTTCAATTAAATGTAAAAACTAATGACATTTTTCTAACAACCAATCTTTTTGGATTCTCAATTCAGTTAATCGATTTTAATTATTTTATTGGTTCAATTAAATGTAAAAACGAATGACATTTTTGTAATAACCAATCTTTTTGGATTCTCAATTCAGTTAATCCATTTTAATTATTTTATTGTTTCAATTAAATGTAAAAACGAATGACATTTTTCTAATAACCAATCTTTCAGGATTCTCAATTCAGTGAATCCATTTTAATTATTTTATTGTTTCAATTAAATGTAAAAACGAATGACATTTTTGTAATAACCAATCTTTTTGGATTCTCAATTCAGTGAATCCATTTTAATTATTTTATTGTTTCAATTAAATGTAAAAACGAATGACATTTTTGTAATAACCAATCTTTCTATTACAGTTAACAGCGTCGCGTTGATCCTAAACAGCCTACAGCCGTGTTGTAAAACCATAAAGTTGGGCCACAACAGCACAAAGACAAACACGGACCTAATTCCATGATTTTATTGATCCAGGCCGTTTTAAAATAGTTCTTGTTATGATGAGTTCATTTATTGATTGGCGTTCACGTGAAATCTCGCGCAAGCTGGCATCATCTCGCGTCACCTGGCGAGATTTGTCCAGTCAGTTGCAGGAAGGCAATAGCCATTTTAATGATTTAGGAATGTTTGTTGTGTTGCTGGATGCTTTTAAAGTAAACCAGGACAAAAGTCGCCTAGCATGTCTGGTATTGTTTTCATATTTTCCTGGTTAGCATTGCTGTTTAGGGTTAGAATTTAATGAGTGGGGACGGAGTGGTCTAGCGGTAGAGAGCCGGACTGCTAAACCGTAAGTCTCGAATCCGGGTTCAAGTCAGTAGACCGTCCCGGAGTCCACCCAACTCTGATGGGTACCTAACTCACGTTAGTGAAAGTAAAGGCGGCTGGGCATAGTGCTGACCACACTATCTCTTCATATGCCGAGGTCACAGAAACAGGTGAACTCTACTTCACTTGCCCTATGGACCGTCAGGTTTGAAAAGGGAACTTTACTTTTACTAGACTTGGGTAGAGTATATCTTAGATATAAGGGATGCCGTGATGAGTGTTATGGCTAAGGTTAACGTAGCGATAAAGGTAGATATGTAGCCTCGAATGAATTCAACCTAACGTTCCATTAAGTTCCTAAATAACAGCAGCCATTTATACTGGAATATACCCTCCACACATTTAAAAACTGGCTAAATTACACCGAGCAGATATTTAGACTCAGCGTACATCTACCAACGCACCGCCTAAATTAGACCGAGCAGATATTTAGACAGTGCATCTACCAACGCACCGCCTAAATTAGACTGAGCAGATATTTAGACAGTACATCTACCAACGCACCGCCTAAATTAGACCGAGCAGATATTTAGACAGTACATCTACCAACGCACCGCCTAAATTAGACCGAGCAGATATTTAGACAGTGCATCTACCAACGCACCGCCTAAATTAGACCGAGCAGATATTTAGACAGTACATCTACCAACGCACCGCCTAAATTAGACCGAGCAGATATTTAGACAGTGCATCTACCAACGCACCGCCTAAATTAGACTGAGCAGATATTTAGACAGTACATCTACCAACGCACCGCCTAAATTAGACCGAGCAGATATTTAGACAGTACATCTACCAACGCTTTAAAGATTGCATGAAGTACTCACGTCGAGGCAGATATTTAGAGAGTACATCTACCAACGCTTTAAAGATTGCATGAAGTACTCACGTCGAGGCAGATATTTAGAGAGTACATCTACCAACGCTTTAAAGATTGCATGAAGTACTCACGTCGAGGCAGATATTTAGAGAGTACATCTACCAACGCTTTAAAGATTGCATGAAGTACTCACGTCGAGGCAGATATTTAGACAGTACATCTACCAATGCTTTAAAGATTGCATGAAGTACTCACGTCGAGGCAGATATTTAGAGAGTACATCTACCAACGCTTTAAAGATTGCATGAAGTACTCACGTCGAGGCAGATATTTAGAGAGTACATCTACCAATGCTTTAAAGATTGCATGAAGTACTCACGTCGAGGCAGATATTTAGACAGTACATCTACCAACGCTTTAAAGATTGCAAGAAGTACTCACGTCGAGGCAGATATTTAGACAGTACATCTACCAACGCTTTAAAGATTGCATGAAGTACTCACGTCGAGGCAGATATTTAGACAGTACATCTACCAACGCTTTAAAGATTGCATGAAGTACTCACGTCGAGGCAGATATTTAGACAGTACATCTACCAACGCTTTAAAGATTGCATGAAGTACTCACGTCGAGGCAGATATTTAGACAGTACATCTACCAACGCTTTAAAGATTGCATGAAGTACTCACGTCGAGGCAGATATTTAGAGAGTACATCTACCAACACTTTAAAGATTGCATGAAGTACTCACGTCGAGGCAGATATTTAGAGAGTACATCTACCAACGCTTTAAAGATTGCATGAAGTACTCACGTCGAGGCAGATATTTAGAGAGTACATTTACCAACGCTTTAAAGATTGCATGAAGTACTCACGTCGAGGCAGATATTTAGAGAGTACATCTACCAACGCTTTAAAGATTGCATGAAGTACTCACGTCGAGGCAGATATTTAGAGAGTACATCTACCAACGCTTTAAAGATTGCATGAAGTACTCACGTCGAGGCAGATATTTAGAGAGTACATCTACCAACGCTTTAAAGATTGCATGAAGTACTCACGTCGAGGCAGATATTTAGAGAGTACATCTACCAACGCTTTAAAGATTGCATGAAGTACTCACGTCGAGGCAGATATTTAGAGAGTACATCTACCAACACTTTAAAGATTGCATGAAGTACTCACGTCGAGGCCTCAGGGTAACTCCCCACATGCGTCAACTGGAAAACTTTGAGCATGTCGATGTCCGCCGTGTAGGGGTTGACCACCGGGACCCGTCCCGTCTCGTGGGCCACGCCCAGCAGGGCGGCGTACTTGAACATCTTGTTGCCCATCCTCCCCACGTCGTGGTCAATGGTCAGCATCAGCTTCGGCGCGGCGCTCGTGTTGGCTGGCTCACCGGACGTGACGTTGTCCGTCGTTTTCAACATGGTGGATGTCTTGAGCTCGGTGGAGGTGCGGGTGTCGGTAGAGGAGAACATCGGTATGACGAAAGATGACCGTTCGATTCTTATCGTCCGCTGAGAGCCATCAGACGAAGCTCCAGATGATGATTTCAGCGATGTGGATGTTAGCGATGATGATATAACCGAAGATGATGTATCGCTGTTAGATGAAGACAGCAATGACGTCTGTCCGGTAGATTTGTCCCCGTGTGAAGACGACAGCTCAGACGTGGTGATGGCACCCTCGGTGTGGACTTCCGGTGAACTGGATGCAGATGAAACTTCCGGTTTGTAGTAGATGACCCGGATGCCTTCCGAGATCTTCTCCCTGACTATGGTGATGGGGTGTACATTGAAGGTGCTGAACCGCGCTAGCACCGAAAAGCAGAAGACCAGCGCGAAGACGAGCGAGAGAATGAAGATGGCCACCAGGTTAACGCGCCGGCTTCGGATCTGAACCATTTTTGTTTTAGTGCCTCGGTTTGCTGGGTCTAGGCCTCAAGGTCATCTGAAATTTTTTAAAGGTCACATTAAGTTTTGGGCAGTTTATTTTTTAACAGGTAACATTTTAATTTAAAAATACAATAAAATCACCATAAACATTTATGTGCTTTAAAACCACAAAGTAAAATCAAGTTTAGTTTAGGCTAATAATTGAGGTTTGGGGTTTACAGTTAATACATTTTGTTACCAATACCCAACAAGAGAAGAAGCAAATTAAAACAAAACCATTCTAGTTTTGTTTTTTTTTCATTATCATCTTTTCGTGCCCACGACACATGGGGCAGATGAAGTACGAGCGGGTAGTGTGGTCAGCATTATGCCCGTCCGACTTTTGTTTCCTTAACGGGAGTCAGGTACCCGTCAGAACTGGATCCGAACTCGAGACTTTCAGGTTAGCCGTCAGAGCTGGCTGGACGCAATTCGTCATACAGACTCGAGCCCGGGATCCGAACTCAGGTTAGCCGTCTGTTTAATGTAATCGAGTTCTCAAACCTATTGAAATCTCTATTAAACGACAAGATTCTATATACACAGATCGCATAATGCAGGGGTCTCCAAACTTTTCAGTCCGAGGGCCGCATTAACTATCAAATTTTAGTTCGGGGGCCAGTTTCTTCCAGACATGTCTTTGGTTTTTCTGGGCAAAATTCCTCAGCCATCACCAACAAACGTTTTTTCTGTGGACAAAATAATCTCCGCGGGCCGGATGAGAGGACATCGAGGGCCGCATGCAGCCCGCGGGCCGTAGTTTGGAGACCACTGGCATAATGTGTAGACGGATTAGACAAAAGTGTTTTATTTATAACAGACAAGACTGCGACTTTATCTTAAACTATTGACGGCACAAAATGTTTTCAAAATTAGAACCTAAAAATGTTTATGCTAATCAAGGAATTAAAACTCAAGCCATGTCGTGCAATCGATTGCATAATTAATGCTTGTATACCTGTAAGATTACCCTCAGGTAAAAAGTTCAGGGAATTTTAATTTTAATTAAAGATTTATTTTGCTGGGAGATAAAGACAGGTAAGAGAGGTGAAGGTCATGAAGAAAGTTTTAACAGGACTCTGTCGGGTAAACTGACACACTCTACTTGAGATGTGTTGGGCTAGAGGTACTTCTCGGTACCACATTACCCGTTTGCTGTCGTTTTTAACTAAAAACAACCTCATACAAAGGCTTAACCCCACACTTAATCACGTGGGAAGACTAACTTGTGTAGGAATACATTTTATTATTTATTTATTTCGTTTTTTTTTCTTTTTTTTTTTTTGCTGAGTAGAAAACAAAATGTTCAACATAAAAACACCGCGCCTTAGTTAAAAAGCTAATCCTTTGAAATGAAACAAAGCAATAATTATTGTCCAACAAAGAGCAGCCATTCAATCAAGCAAACAAAAAATTGCCAATAAAACACTGGATCACTTCATATCCGATTCCCATCATCAACAAGGAACTTAAACATGTCTGAACTAAGTATAATCGGAAGATCAAAGGTCTATTTTAATTTTCTAACTCAAACCGATCTTAGAATCATTTCCGACTTTCTGATTCACGTTAAAACATAACAATAAAACAAATCTATTAATCAAAATGTGTATGTCGGCTATGTGTATTGCCGTGTGTGGCATTGTCCATAGCGACAACAGACAATTCTAGATTTTTACTCTCACCAAATTTGTTGTCACAAAAAGTTCGGACGCGCCATCGACCGTAAAATGCAGTTACAGACGCATTCACTTTCCACTGATAAGGTGAAGCAACATAGTTTTACCACTCAAGGTTTCTTTCAGACATTTTCCGCAGGGGGGGGGGGGGGTGGAGCAGTAAACATTCCGTTGGGGAAGTATGCAGACACTTAAGTATATATTTAATTATATATAAATTATATATTTTTCTATCTTCCCGGGGTGGGGAAGGGGGATCTGTCGGTTGCCGCCCGCGGGATGCCTGAAATAAACTGTAAAAACAATTTCAAGCTTAGCGCACGTTTTCCTTATATTAAAGTAAGTAATACAAGATGTAAAGTGCATGAATTACCCCCGGTTTACAAATGTGTGTTTATAATATTTATATACATAGATACAAAATTCCCCCCCCCCCCACCGCCTTTTTAATATTAATTAAACATGGGCTGTTAAAAAAAACGCCTTCTGCCACCCAGACAGTACTACTGCGCATTAAATAGGTATTAGCTAGTTTGTACAAAAACAGGTTTTTGGTATTTTGTTCACGTATTCATAGAACTATGTGGACAAACAACCCTCCCACATAGACGGTAGGTAACTTTCCACTTTTGACACAGTTTTATAAGTGGGCTTGTTATTTAAATGTCGTCTTTTGATTTATGGCACAGCGCTGGTAAAGGCTATAAATAACTTCGGGAGCTCTTCAGTTCTAGAGTTCAAGTAAAGGCTATTGTTAGTGTTATCACTCTGGGATTCTTTGACACACCAACAACCCTAAACCTAATCCTAATTAGTACTCATCCTGAGGCTCGACAAGGGAAAAAAATGATGCACGTTGTTTTCGTTAACGATTTAACGCACACCGCACGCATGTACAGTACAAATCATTTTCCCAACTACGGTGATTTTAATTGCCGATAGTGAGGCTTAGGACCAGTCCGTCCAGAGTTTCTTCCAGGCATCCCCCCCCCCCCACCCAACGAGGTGGAATTTATATAGTAAAGATATACTTTTACTAGTTTCCGCCCCCCGGAAAATATAGACCCCCCCCCCCCCCGGAGAAATTAAGAGAACAAGGCTTAAAGTCTTGAAATGAATATTAGCAGTGGTCATTAGAAAAAACAACAGTTTTTATTCTGTGATTATTTCTGGATACTTAGTTTTGGCAACCGGCAATGTACACACATTTTACAATACTGACATACGTTATGAGGGGTGGGGGGAGGTCAGGGATTATGTGAGGATGTATTGAAGATGGGGTTTAAGGAAGTTTTAGGGCCTATTAATTTTTTAATGTCTTCTACGAGTACATTCTCGTCTAGTTTAAAAGACTACTTGAGTTTTGTAGGGCTATAATGTGTGGTGGTTGGGAGGGCGGGGCTGTACACAAGCTGTGTATAGTTATATGGGGGAAGGAGGGAATAAAATAATGTCATGTGTAAATGATCCTACTATATTGATGTAACAAAAATGTCATGTTTTGTGTAACTGATCCTACTATATTGATGTAACAAAAATGTCATGTTTTGCGTGACTGATCCTACTATATTGATGTAACAAAAATGTCATGTTTTGTATGACTGATCCTACTATATTGATGTAACAAAAATGTCATGTTTTGTGTGACTGATCCTACTATATTAATGTAACAAAAATGTCATGTTTTGTTTGACTGATCCTACTATATTGATGTAACAAAACTGTCATGTTTTGTGTAACTGATCCTACTATATTGATGTAACAAAAATGTCATGTTTTGTGTAACTGATCCTACTATATTGATGTAACAAAAATGTCATGTTTTGTTTCACTGATCCTACTATGGACGGAGTGGCCTAGCGGTAGACAGTTAGACTGCTAACCCGTGTGTCTCCAGTTCAAGTTAGTAGACGGTCCCTGAGTCCACACTATACCTAGATGTGCCGAGGTCACAGAAACAGGTGAACTCTACTTCACTTGCCCCATAGACCGTCAGGTTTGGAAAGGGAACCTAACTTTTATCCTACTATATTGGTGTAACAAAATGTCATGGTTTTGTTTGATATAAATCCTAATATATTGATGCAACAAAAATATCAAATTTTGTTTGAACAAAAGTGTCATGTTTTTGTGATGCTACGAAAATATCATGTTTTGTGTGATTTAAAACCTACTAAATTGATGTAAAAAAACCTGTTATGCTTTTATTTGATATAAAACTTACTATACTGATATCACAAAAATGCTAGTTAAGACTCGCACGAAAACTGCATGCGTTTCGTTCAATGACCCTTATACTTTAAGCACAGTGGATAAGCCAGTCACGCTTCGCTGGTTGTGTAAGGAGTTCGTGCGAATAAAACATTTCCAGGCTTATTACATAGTGTACTTGTAAAATGATACATTCTAAAACTTGTGCCGAGGAATACAACTTGTGCCGAGGAATACAACTTGTGCCGAGGAATGCAACTTGTGCCAAGAAATACAACTTGGGCCGAAGAATACAACTTGTGCCGAGGAATACAAATTGTGCCGAGGAATGCAAATTGTGCCGTAGAATACAACTTGTGCGGAATAATACAACTTGTGCCGAATAATACAACTTGTGCCGAATAATACAACTTGTGCCGAGAAATGCAACTTGTGCCAAGAAACACAACATTTGAAAGAATACATGACTAGTATCAAGAAACAACTACAACTTGTTCGGGAAATAATTTTTTTCTCCCCGAAAATTAAAGTTTACAGACGACAGGCAGCCTACTAGAGACCTATAGAGACGGACCAGACAAAAGCACATGGCTTCAAAGAAGGAGCAAATGGCGCTGGGTGGGACACTCCACACCCCTCTTCTGAAACAACACACCCCATTATCTTCATATCATTTTCTTTTCCATTTAAATTTTACAAGTATTTGAAGTATTTTTGGCCTAGATATATTCTTTTTTGGCAAGCTATAACATTACACCAATTTTTTCTCTTCTTTGAAAAATCAAATTTTTTGGCATATAGCATTCAACACTTGTCTGGCAACTTGAAGACAGGAAGTTAGCGTGGATCGTACAGGATCATTGCGCCGATACAAAAGCATGTCATGTATACAGTGGGGCTGGAACTCTGTCAACTGGCTATCCGGGCTATTCAACAAGACGCTAAGCGTTCCTGTATTTCGTTTTTCAAGCCCCATTAAAAGTGTCCGCTTCATGCATGAGATATCTTTGTAAACACATTTCTTATTGGGTGCCGCAGCTTGAAGAAATAAAGAGCTCTTCTTACCTGTACAGGTGACACTACAGGTATATATATATATATATATATATATATATATATATATATA